CATGACGGGAATATTTCAAATTTCGTTGAAGTATCCCTTTAAAACTTGCTGTGCGGTACGAGTTTATTCTTTCGTTCCCCTCTGAAAAGTGCTTTCAAAGTGGTAGTTTGTGACGTCGTATACAGAGCTCTTTTGTTCTGCAGGTGCACGGTCCTCAAAAAGCTTGCGCACCAACTGCACTGATCAAAGCTATGCAACTCAGAGTATACTCCTGGAGAAGTGGCAATCAGTTCATTGCGTGACGTTTCATCGACAGCTCAGATTACGTTTTTTTCTGTAATAAGCTGCATGAGACTGTCACTGCGACAGTCTCATGCAGTGTCGGTAAGGTGGGTTAACATTTTTGTAATGAGCCCACCTTACCGACAGGCAGGCAGGCAGGCGGGTGGGTGGGTGGGTGGGTTAATGCATACCCCAGTGATACACGCAAGACGAAATGTCCCTACAGCGTGCAATTCGCATAACAAGCATCAATGAAACGATTGTGTTGACGAAACGTGTGTTCATGAAAAGTTGTCTACGAAACATAATTTTATGAAGCGAGTTTCGATGAAATGAAAGGGACCCTTTATGGAGTGGCATGCGCTGTGTAGCCGAAAACCCATATTTGACGTCATAAACGGTGAATGTGAAACATGGATATCTTGCGTTTGCCAACAATTTTGCACCAAATAATTGTCATATTTGGATTCATGGGGTAAAACCAGGCAAGAATTGACCTCCAACTATATTTTTAGGAACCACTTCAGCTTTCTTTAAGCCATGTTACTTTACAAGCATGACTTTCACATCAGGACATCAACAGGATCGCCTCCTAAAGCACACCTGTGCATGGGAATAGCCATACTTCCAGTGTATATACCTTATAACGTCCTGAAGGAGTATTTTACCACATGCAATTCATTTAGCACTGAATTGTTTGTGCGGTAACATACTTCCTTGTTACGTTAGGTCGAGAAAGAGTTGAATGAATGTCCGAGCCCTTTTTAAGATAAAATAGAATGTCAATTTTTATTCCTCGAGCCAACACTTGTTCTCGTGCATTGACGCTAAAGCTTGTGGATAGTGTTGCAAGTTGCACCAGGGAACGGTGACACGATAGCAGGGTAGAACAAGAGGTTTAATATGGCGATCGGCTCAGAGCCAGGTACGTTCTAGCCACGGGCGCAAGGCACGAGTTCATGCGCACGAGCCGCGGAGCTCTATCTGCTCGGCTGCTCAGTGTAGCCAACATCTCCCCCACACAGAAGAGTCAAAGTCTCAGGGGAGCCTTGACGCATCGGCCACTTCTCGTTTGTGAATGAAGATTGCCTTCACATTCTATACGTGGCTCTTGAGCATCTCCGCTCTCAACGACTTCCGCATCCCACTTCTGACACCATGTTCCAAGTTGTGCCAGGAAAGGTGACACCATAGCAAGGTAGAAGAAGAGGTTTAATATGGCGATCGGCTCAGAGCCGGGTACGTTCTAGCCACGGACGCAAGGCACGAGTTCATGCGCACGAGCCGCGGAGCTCTATCTGCTCGGCTGCTCAGTGTAGCCAACATCTCCCCCATACAGAAGAGTCAAAGTCTCAGGGGAGCCTTGACGCATCGGCCACTTCTCGTCTGTGAATGAAGATTGCCTTCACATTCTATACGTGGCTCTTGAGCATCTCCGCTCTCAACGACTTCCGCATCCCACTTCTGACACCATGTTGCAAGTTGTGCCAGGAAAGGTGACATGATAGCAAGGTAGAAGAAGAGGTTTAATATGGCGATCGGCTCAGAGCTGGGTACGTTCTAGCCACGGGCGCAAGGCACGAGTTCATGCGCACGAGCCGCGGAGCTCTATCTGCTCGGCTGCTCAGTGTAGCCAACATCTCCCCCATACAGAAGAGTCAAAGTCTCAGGGGAGCCTTGACGCATCGGCCACTTCTCGTCTGTGAATGAAGATTGCCTTCACATTCTATACGTGGCTCTTGAGCATCTCCGCTCTCAACGACTTTCGCATCCCACTTCTGACACCATGTTGCAAGTTGCGCCAGGAAAGGTGACACGATAGCAAGGTAGAAGAGGTTTAATATGGCGATCGGCTCAGAGCCGGGTACGTTCTAGCCACGGGCGCAAGGCACGAGTTCATGCGCACGAGCCGCGGAGCTCTATCTGCTCGGCTGCTCAGTGTAAGCTTAAGCACATAACCTTAAGCACATAAGCTTAAGCACAAACCTAGCACACCTGATTGTAGCGGCTTTGGCCGTTGCCACAGGTATGTATGATGGGAGTATGGCTACCTGGGGAGTGAAGCAGAGGGGTCATAGTGTTACCCTAATATCCCGAGAGATAGCCCACCTAAAATCAATAAAAAAATGGCTCAAATTAAGGAGTGGGCTCACTTGCAGTGTGAAGCAATAATGGCTCTACTTGCCAGGCGGCAATGGTTCATTATATCTTGTCATAGCTAACTCGACACAATAACTAGACACGTTATATCCCCAATAGCTAACTAAAAGAAAAAAAAGCAAATGAAGCCAAAAACTGGGGTGGCTTACCTTTCGAGGCTGGGGCATCTCTCAGAATTTTATGGTAAGCATATATCTAACGTCTACAGTTTACATGCTACCAACACACTGGGGTTTTTTAGCTGCTCTTGTGACTGCCACTATAATGAGACTTGACTCTTTTCTAGGGGTGTATGAATACTTTAATATCGGAATACAAATAAAATAGTAAGCTCTCGGATAAATCGATTCGCGAATAAAATTCTTAGTGTTTGGTTAACCATAGATTTAAAATGTTCTGTGAAAGATGCGCGGTCGACATGGAGCCAAAGAAACTTGTGCTCCCTCTCCATTGTAGTGCGCACTTGCATTGAACTTATGAATATGCAAAACATATTTTGGTTTGTGTTTTTTTTTGTCCTCCCGTCACTCACATAGCAGGTGCACTTGCAAACACTACACATGTGGGGTGCAGTGAACCTGTTCTTGCAGACCGTAGTGTTTAGGAGTGCACCTCCTATGTGGGCATTGGGAGCACAAAAAAACCATAGACTGCATGCTACAGCTAATTGCTGATTGGGATGTACATTTGTGAAACAAACATGAAGATGTTTTAAAGCAGGGGGTATATGATGTGACTGAGATACCACTCTTAATTCAGGCCATTTCATTTTAAGCTTTCTTTCTTCTCTGCCTGCCAGAATTCAGTGACTGGAGGGAGGCTAAGGATGGCAGAGAGCATGTTCGCTTCATTCTCCACGACGGACCCAAGGGACGAGATGAGGGTGTCCTGAAAAGGTATTACTACTGCCACCGCTCTGGATCATTTCAGAGCAAGAGGTAAATGACAACTGAGAACCCAGGGCACTTGTAAGACTAATGTGCAATGCTTAGCCACAATTCAAGCTACAGAGAAAGATGGCAAGGTGACAGTAGAGTACCAGGCAGAACACTACGGCCACCCGAAGGAACTGAAGCACCAGCGCCTCTTTACGACTGAGAAGGAGGCTTTAGCTGATAAACTAAAGCAAAGCATCCCCGCCCGTAAAGATCTGGTAGACGCACATTCTTCTGCTGGCAGTGAGATGGGCAGGCTACATTTTCTCTCAATGAAAGACATTGGCAACATCTCCGTCGAGCATGAAATTCTGACGAAAGAGCTACGGCACTGAACAAAGTCAGATTCCCCAGTCCTGTACTGACATGGAGGAAGGAAAACAAAAAGAGAGCTTTGATCTTGCCCTGATGACTGTCCCTCAGAAAGAACGCCTCACAAAGCTTGGCCCCAAGTTTCTGTGCATTAACTACACTCATAATATAAATGGCCACAATCTGCAACTGAAGACTCATGACAGCTGCAGAAGATCAGTCAGGCATGCCATGCACATATTTGATCTCAAGGTAACTAGACACCAAGGCTATGAAACACTCCTTAAGGCCATAAAGGTAATGCATGGGAGGAAGTGATGGGCTGTGCCCAACATTGGATGCTCTGCTCGTGGCATGTAAGCCACAACTGGGCTCTGAAGTTGCAGTCAGTCCAAGATATAAGCAAACCCGTGACAGTCTTTGCGACGAGTTGTGGGCGCTGAGAAATTGCAAAGATGAGGGTCAATTCCAACGACCTCCAACAGGCCTCCCGTGTCAGAAACTAAGTGAAGAGGCTGATCCAAAACTAATTCAACAAGTACAGGAGTTTCTTCAGTACTTTGGGCACTACCATGGTGGCAGAGCCTAACAGTGGGCGCTCTGCTTCAGAAAGGGCATTCCTTTTAATACTACCAACCACTTGGAGGCATTGTACAAGGACCTGAAGTCACGCTAATGCATGGAACTCGCAACCAGAGGCTTGACAAGCTGTTGATGATCCTCTTCGAACTGAGCCATGACCGGCTCTACGAGCGTCCCAAGTCGCTCGTAAAAGGAAAAACGAATCGGCATGATGCAGCCCTTTTTCGGAGGCACCAGGAGGGGATGAAAATTCCAGCATCAGATGTAGAACAGCTGCAAAAGGGCAATGGCTGGCTTGTAAAGTCTCAGTCCCAGACAGAGAGAAGCTACCATGTTGAGAAGGGCGACCCCCGCCAGAGTTGCGTGCTTCGTTGCAGGGACTGTGACATCTTTATCGACAGTTACAAGTGCACTTGCAATGACAGCCTGATTTCATCATCAATGTGCAAGCATATTCCCGCAGTAGCTTACCTGGGGATCCATGTGACGACCGTGGAGGAGGCCGACACTGAGCCAGGTGTAGAAATGCCATCAACAACACGTGAAGAAACAGGCTTTACGTTAGATGATGAGCCACAGTCCCTCTTGGATGACATTCGGCAGGGTATTGAGGTAGGGATGGAGAAGACTCAACCAAATTCAGAGGACAACATATGTTCAACAATAAGTGGACTGAACAAGTCCCTCTCCAGGAAGAAATTGACAACCTCTTCAAGCTCCCTGGTGTTGAAATACCGTACCAAGGCCCAAGATGTACTTGACTCTGTTCATGATGAGACTTCTCCAAAACCTGGGGTAATCCCTCACAACAAAAAGATGGAAAAACAACCACGGTACTTTCCCCCCCAAAAAACGCCCTGGTTCTGGTCCCATGCATGGCAAACCTCCCACCAGCTTGGAGCAGCAGCACATCATGTAGGGCCTTGTAGCCAGGTGAGTTCCTACAGAAGGAGCAGCATCCGCTCAGCTCCATGTGGATGTGCCGAGCATGTCTGTGCTGGCCCTCAAGGAGCATGACTACTTTGCAAATCAGTAGTCGTGACAATTGGACTCCAAAAAGGGGCAGTATTCTTCTTGCAAAAAGGAATGGCGTGTTGGACAGCTTGGATTTCTTTCCACTTTGGAGAATGTCACGAGAGGCTCAAGCTAAAGGCAAGAGGGGCATCTCTTACCATCCTCCAACAGGTTACGTTAGGCGAGGCATTATATGCTGACCTTAATCGTAACGCTTTTTTAACAACCAGGGATTGGCAATTTTATTTAAGTTGATCCGGAACGGTTGTCTCTAAATTAACGGGCAACCATAGTGCCTCGAAATGCTCGTTTATAAGCATGCCCCTCGCTGAAGCCGGCACTTTTTTTTTAGATAGTATTACTGCACGAGAATGTGCAGCTTTTTCCGCTTTGGAGAATGTCTAGAGGTGCTCGAGCTCGCCATTCTCCAACAGGTGGCTTATGTTATCAGCTGGTCTTAATTGGAAAAGTGTTTTAATGGCCAGAGCTTGCCAATTTAATTTCAAATTTATGCAGACAGGTTACCTCTAAGTTAATGTGTAACCACAATACCTCAAGTTGCCTGTTACATGCTTATTTTTTTATTTTGCATACTGCTGCACGGGAATGTGAAAGTTGCAGTTCCCGCGACATACCAAATTATTTTAGTATGTGACTTATATGCTTTAGGATATAATCATTTACTTGCTAATAAGTGCCTATAATCACCGTTTCATTGTTTTGTGAGCCAAGAGGGAGTGACCACTGGCAACCACAAGCATGAGGATCTGCTACACAAAACATAATCATGTCAGTCATCCCTGTGTGCACGGGATAGTTTTTAACGGGCTAGGTGAGATTCAATTGCCAGCATTTTAAAAAGCGATAACTCAGAGGAGAGTAAAAGTACAAGCAAGCTGGTGATTTGCAGACGAAAAACTGAAACACCAGAAGGAAAAAGGACACGAAAAAAAGGATGACACACACACACCGTCTCGAACACAGCTGAAGGTTTATTCTAAAACCACACCCTTTTATAACGGTACAGCACAGTCAACGCCAAGAACCCTCACACCAAGTCACACACCCAGACTGTCAGCAAGAGCAAACAAAAGAAATGCACTCGACGCTTCCATACGTGCCAAGGTCAAGCAACTGACAAAAAAAAATTGCATTGGTCAAAAAGTTTGTACTTGCTTGTGAATCACCATCGACGAGACACTTACACAATTACCAGCAGAATCAATACTAAGAGTTTCTTCTACCACGCGTTTGAACTGATCTCGCTCGGCTTATCACCGTGGTGGCCATCCAATTCGGATGACAACTGTTGCAAACTTGTAAATGTACTACAGTTTCTGAATTTGGGGATTGCAGGAGGACACACCTTTTGTGCTCCATGATTTGCTCATTAACATAACATCCAGTTTAAAGGGGTAGTGAAACGAAATTTCAGCGCCGATCTTGTTGCATAAATATGGGCTAGGGACAGGCACCACCTCGGAAATATAAATATTGCGCTGTAAAACACAGAAGAACTAATTTTAAACATAATTAAACGATTTCAAATTCTCATCTGGTGGATGGGGGGAAGTTCTCGTGACATCACTTGTGCCATAATAGCAGCGCCGTTCTGCGGCAATACGGCGTGCCGGCAGAATTCGCCTAGGCCTGAACGCGTTTGCAAAGCGTTGGCGGAGAAAGTCAAAGCGTAGTTGGCCACAGTGAGCTCGTTCTCGTTGCGGCTCTTTGCACGACACGACCCGAGCGTGCTTCTGGCACGGCCGGTATTAGTTGCTGCGAGTCGCGAGCTGCGAGCCGACGTTAAAAAGGATATGTTTGAACTACGAGGGTGTCAGCAAGAGCCACGCAAATACCTGCTCACACTCGGAGCGGACATGCGCGTTTGATCGAAGGGCTGGATTCGCTCTGTTAGACCGCGTTTCGGTAAGCGCTTCTGGACCGATCTTTTACGATTGCAACTCGATACTGACATGACACTCGGCAAAGAAAGGTTAGACGGACATCGCGTAGCTCCCACGAACTGCTATAGCTCGACAGTGACGTAGCGTCGAGTCAGAATAAAAATGGCATACTAATAACAGAGTGTACATACCGAGTTGCGAAGGTAATCCGTATGGCGTTTATTTGAGCTCTATATCACACAAAACAAGGAGATAGAATCAATGAAAGTCCCTTTTCGACGACAGCGTTCGTCACCGCTGTCTCGGAAAACAAGGAGATCGAGATGACAAGGGGAAAATATTGACCTCTGAAATTTAGTTCAGGGATCAAACTACTCATCCGGTAAGGGTTCACAAGGGTCGCGCGGGCATATTCCATTCAGCAGGCCAGCCGGTCATGGACAGACGGTCTTGGCCAAGGACCGCCGGAGCAACGGTGCGCCGAGTCGATGTTGCTGCTAGGCCTACTATATTCTGCCGAGCTCGCTCGGTCGGCAGAATCGTGACCGTTGTAGCTCTTCTCGTGTGTTTGTGGATCCTGCGTTCTTGATCGTCGTGGTCTGTTTCAAATACTCCTTCCTTTTTTCTTGCTGGTTGAAGTGGGGACGCACGAGAAGAGCACGTAGAAAAATAAATGTCCGTTGGTGGCCGATACCAAGTAACTGAGCGACGTTGTCGGCCTTGTTGATTTGATCGTAAAAAGTGCGTAAGACAGCTTCGGAGCTGTCGTAGGATTCTGTCGTAACCTGCGCAAAGGTTACGACAATTTCGTTTCGAGAGTACGGGTTTTCTCTCAAATTTGTCGTACGCACTTTTTTCGTCGTGAGTTCGCTTTGAGAATCCGGCCTCAGAGCTGGTTTTGTCAGTGCTGCCGTGGTTGCCGACTTGCCGTGGTGCAGCGTGCGCGCAGCCCTTGCACATCTCAAACGGCCACGTTGTCACAAGTCGTATCGTCGACGCGCCACCAAGTGGCAACGCTCGTAACCACAACATTCACGCCGTAGCCTTTCCCGTCTGGCACAAGTGACGTCACGAATGCGCCCAATATCCCAAGACGCATCGCGCTCTCCGATGGCCGATCTTTGAGCGCGCGCCCAATCGGGCCCATTAGGGTGAAAAATATAGCCATCCGTTCAAAATACAAACGCGCGATTATGATTTATGAATATCATTGATCATATTCAACATATTTCTGACCATAATAGGTGTATTTCAAGTTTCGCTTCAGTATCCCTTTAAACTATGTATGAAAACCCAGGTGCCAAAGGAATATTACAAACACTACTATATTGACATTCAGTGGCAGTATTCCTATGCGTTTCCCCGCAAACTTTTACTACCTCTTGTGAAAGGAGTCGACCTACTTTATCTGAAGTCTTCACAAGCACGTTCTCATGGTCACTCTCGTCGTTGTCTGAGGCCGTCTTGTCTTCACAGGCAATGTGAGACTCACTCTGAAGACAAATTTGGGATCTTCAGCATCGCTGCCGTCCGAACTGCTGCTAGGAACAGCTCTTTTTCTGGGGACCATCACCGCCATTAGCATTCCTCATGCGTGTCACCATTTTTAAATTCATGTTGCCAGGCCAACAACTGCTGTCAGGCTAAACACATTGCAAAAGTGCAAAACACTTTTTTTTCTAGCACCTTTTTAGGTTGAAAATAGAAACCGAAACCAATTTTTGAACTTATTTTGACGCAGAGAGCAGCACAGCATGAGGGTGGACGAATGTGACGCGTCATTGGTGATATTTGTACAAACCAATAATGTGCACAGCTCGGACCAATGTAATTTAGCACACAGGTGGAATATAATTGTGACATTGTCTGTCCCTTTTTTTCTATCTCTTCTAATTTGTTTCCCCCTTTTTTGACCACAGTCCAGTCTTTTTTGACCACGGTGTCAACCGTCAGCTTGCCTGCACATAAACCTTTTTTTTTTCAATAAAATTGGCCATTTCTAGCTATATTATTGAACAGAGCTCACTTTAGTAAAAAAAATAAAAGAGAGAAAAAAAACTTTTTTCTGTAGTTTACGTGTGAAAACCAAATTACATTTTAGACCACTGTCTATTTTGGCAAAGGGAGACAGATAATACATAAGCCAAGTTTACTTCCTTCCCATTCCCTCATTTTTTTCAGTCGTGATAAATGCCACGGTGGCCCAAAAGGCTGTTTGATGATATTGCGCCAAAAGGAGTGGGCAATCACCCATAAAAAGTGTTGTTTCCTTAGGTGTGGGGTGCTCAAACTTTTATATAATTACTGCGCCATCTAGATCACTTCTGTAGTAAATTGTAGCACGATAAGTCAAGATAGCAATTTATGCGGTTCTTTCAAAGGGTTATGCGCATTTATACTCGTGCTGTATTTTTACAGATCAAGAGACTTGTATGACTGAATCATGCCAGCTGTGTACTAGCTTGTTGAAGGCGCCACATAAATGACGACATAAGCCATTGACTTTAGTGGCAAACCAACTTTTTGTCAAAGTGCCCATTAGAATTGTCAAAGGCAACGCTATCAACGCAGTTTGTCTGTGCAATGCCATCAATGCAGTTTGTCTGTACCACTGCCATTCAAAGTCCGGTAGCTAGCCCAAATAGTCTAGCATCACATACGAGGTTCGTTGCCAGAAAATGCAAGAACAAATGAAGTTCAGGCACCTTGTGCAGCCTCACCAACCAATGTAGACCACATACTGCAATGGCAAAAACACAGAGCTCGGCCGTTTCTGTCCACATACCTTCTGTGCATGCGCGAGTTTCCCGTTGTGTTGATAAACAAAGCACGCTGGTGTATACACTCTGCCAATTTGTAATTTATGTGATGAAGATTTCTACCAAACTAAAACATATTGGCTGTTGCTGAATCGTGCCAAAAACATTAAGGGTGTTTTCAAATAAGATCGATCAAGGGGTGGCTGGTCGACATTTTCAATTCAATTGATATTTTTCTGTCATTGCTTATTATCCCGTATTTGCAACTCCAACGCCCCATACGTGGCAAGGCGGTACTTCCAAGATGGCAGAAGAGACGAAGATAGATTCTCCAGGATTTCACATGCACCTGCCTGTTCACGCTTGTCACTGCGCTAAAAATGACTCATTTGTGTACAAATGCAAAGCAGTTAGGGCAGGATCATATTACAGGTGACGGAGATATTGATGCGTGGTAGAAAAACGAGCATACTGATATTTAAAAGTTGCAGAAACCCCAACTTCCGAAGCTTTGTGGTGTGTGAGCGCGTTTTAGACACCAACCACGTCACTGTTTGTGGCAATATATTTTGGAGGGTGATGAAGATATTGTGTTTGCGCTTTGCCTGGCCATTAGTGCTCTAAAAAGTGAGCCGTGAACGGTGACCATCAAGCTCCAGAAGAGCAGCGTTCACAGTATTGATGTCTTCGCGTCACAGGCTCGCAACTCGCTGCTCACCTTCTAGGTTTTAGTGTGAAAACCAAATTCGAAGTGCCATCTAGATTTTTGTTTACGAACTGTGTGCTCCATAGAGTGCTGTGGAACTCCATTTAGACGCTGAGCTTCAAAACATGTATTCTGTAAAATACACTGCAGTTACCATAGCAGCCGTGTCTATTTATTGTTGTAACTCAATATATAGGCTCTAAGCATCCTAAAAAAACCTGAAACCATATTCAAGAGCAGCCAATTTCCCTAGTAAAAGTACAATCAAAGATTTTTCCGCGCCTCTCTTTCTGCATTGTGGTGCAGTACACCAGAGGGTGCCACCAGACAGGAAGGCAGCAGGGGAAGGCACATGACAGTAAATCATGAGTGACGGTTTACCGGCGGACTGACTTTTCGAAGGCGCGCACGGTGGCACCCCCTGGTGTTCTGCGCCATGGCACAGAAAGAGGGGCGTGGCACAATCTTTGATTGGACTTTCAATAGGGAAATCGGCCAGCCTTGAATTTAATTTTGGGTTTTTTAGGATGCTTAGAGCTTATAGATTGAGTTACGACAATAGACGGTATCAGAATCCACTTGAGTGTCCCTTTAACAAAATAATTTGTAATGGTTACACCCACCATGTCTAAATAATTTTCTTTGTTTCTGATTCTAAAAAGTATTAGTCTTCTCCTGGTGTTATTGTTTTAGTTATTTAATTTCAAAGATGCCTGCTCCAATAGTGTGCGTGAATGCGACCGTCTACCTTTATGTGATCTAAGATTTCTTGTGCGCCCAGATTCTTTTTCTGATGAAAAATAAACATGTTTATTTACACCGGACACTAGGCAATGACATATAAAAATATCAATTGACTTGAAAATGTTGACCAGCCATCCTTCGGTCAATTTTATCCCAAAATCACCCTTAAATTGTCCAAAACAGCCCGAAACTGTACCAAAATACCTCCACAACTTTTCTTTTTTTTATATAATAAGTTTTTGCTGCGATACATGTTTTACTTTAATGTGGACTTTTCTGCTCCTAAGCTGCTTCAAAATGTACATGTTCTCCTCTTGAGCTGCTCCGAAAATTTTTTACAGAATTTGTTTTAACTGTCTTACTTAGTCATGGGCAGTAGCCATACTCAAGTTTACCTTAAAAGGACACTGCCCCCCCCCCCCCCCCTCCTCACAAATTTTTTTTTAATTTTTTGCCAGGCGTCTGAATACTATTTAAGTAATATTTTGCTACAGAGAAGACAGAATTCACCGGCACCGTGAACGACAGTTTTGAAGTAGAGGTCCCACGCCCGTCGTCCACGAGTCCCACGAAACGTGAAACGACGCCATGTTGAGAATTATGCAGTGAACGCACAGAATGATTCCAATTGTCTGTGCAACCTTTTTTTTTCTTTTTTTTCAATCGACATATTTGCAGCTTTTTGGAAGCCACAAAAATGTTTCATTTTTTTTTCTACTTTTAGGATTCACTGTGTGCCTTCAATGACCCACGACTTTGATTAAATTTGGTGGTCGTGTCTAAACCTTAGAAAACTGCCTTGGAAAAGAGAGTGAGCGCGACTCGATCGGCAGTTTTCGGGCAAAAAGAAACCGAATTTCGAGCTGCAAATTTTGTTCTTGGTAGTTTGGCTCTCATATGTCACATAAAACTAAAAACCTCGGCGAGCATAAATACCCTGTCAGTGTCCCTTTAAAGGGTCCCTGAAAAGAAAAGTTTTTTTTAAACAGTCTGGTTGGGACACGCAAGTCAAAAATCAAATCTTATGCGAAAAAAAAATTTTTTTTTTCTAGAGCAATATTGACGGCGGGAGTTTATTTGAAATTTTTTGTGCAAAGCCCATGAAGTCACGGGTCATTCCGGAATAACCATCTCGGTCGTGAAGGCAAAGCCGGTCCATTTCTACTCCATGTGCCCAAAATGCCAAGAGAAAACAAGTGGAAAGGAGGTAACTGCCGACTAAATGGCGTCTTGTGCCGTCAGTATTGGTCTAAACGAATTTTTTTCGCATAAACTCATCTTTTGACACGCGTGTCCCAACCAGACTGTTCAAAACTAACTTTTTTTTTTTTTCTTTTCAGGGGCCTTTTAAGGTGGATTGCAGCAGATGCTACGAGCCAGCACAACTAATTCTGTGCTAAGAGTGTGTTGGGCGACCTTCCGGCTTGGCGCAGCAATGCGCAATATCACGTGACACTCTGGCCGGGCGTGATGGCTTCTAGCATCAGCTGCGGTCCATCTTAATGCAAAATGGAGTGTGATTACTAGTAATGCATTACCGGTCAGTTGTTACTTTTTCCAATAGCTTTGAACTGTAACGCGTTACTCTTTATTAGCGGTACTTTGTAACTCTAACTCTTACTTTTTTTTATTGGGTAACTGCAACTTTTAAAGTGATGTACTTTAAAGCCAAGTTCCATGTTCTTTAAATCCGAAAAAAAAGGGGGGGGGGGGTTTCCTGTTCATTCTTTTCTTGCAAATTTGATGTTATTCGTTGTCTATTTTTGCTGTTGACCGGAATGCATGCAGGGTTTCTCAGGGCTTGTGTCATAGGAGCGACAGCATATCTATAAGACCCATGGAGTGCTAAATGGCACGTGTAGAAACACTTTTCAAACGAGGAAGCAGCCTTGCAAACAGATCAGTGTAGTCTGTGTTCAAGAGAACACGAAATGAAGATGTCAAAACAGGTTGTTTGTTGTAAAACTGGTGTTTTTCTTGTTAAAAAAAACTTGAATTTCTTATTTGCTTTTTTCCACCGATTTTGAGAAACACTTTTTAAGGGTTACTTTTCAGTGATGCCGTCATATCAAAAACCTAGAACTTTACCTATAGTACATTGTTTTGAAATAACCTTTTAAGCCACCCAGGGGTGTTGCCGTTTTGGTGCCTGCCACCTGAGCCTTTTTTTCCCTGAACACTCATCATAGGTTAATACTAACCCTCAAGGAGGGAAGCACCTTCAATCTGTTGAAAATGCCAAAGTATGACAGGTGAGCAGCAGGTAACAAGAGATGAAGATTGCTCATCTGGACAAAATGTTTTTGGAGTCGAAATCGAGAGAAACATTTTTATTGGGTTTTCATTTGGCTGCCCTTGCAACAAACCTTACCTTGATCTTGTGTTAAACAATGAACCTATTTGTACTGGACCCAGTGAAGTATATATGATTGAATAGAGCTGGAGCCATTGGAATGGGAAGGTCAAGGTCCTGTGTAATTCAGTTCACTGACCATTGCAAGAAAATGTAGCATCCGCTGGTGGATTCTGTGACCTTTTGCTACAGCAATTATTGATTATGTGCAGGTACCTGGACCTCGAGACCGGGGGCCTTGGAGATGTCAGCAAGGCTACGGGGTGATTTGCTCACCGCGAGGCTCTGCAATTTAGTGGCATGGAACTAGTGCCTCATTTCGGAGAACTCCATGGCGAGTGAACAGTGTAAGGCTGGTGGGGCAAGAAGTTTATTGGAAGGTTATGCCATGGTGATCAATATTCATGACAGGTTCATCTGCCGAACTAGCTATGCAATAGAGGGAAGCCTGCTAAGTCACTGGGACATGGATGCATTAGTCGTCAGTGTGTGGCGCAGAGGACTTCTAGGGACAAGTCCAGGAGACGAAAATGCAATATTTATATTCTGTCTATATTTTGGTGAACCATTGTTACTGTTGACATTTAAGTGTGGGACATTTCGCTTGTGCGGCAAAAGATATGTCAGGTGTGTAATGGGGTCCCACAAAAAATACCCATGCTTTGTCTTGAGCTATGTTCATAGAGACATGGCAAGGGGGGCCAGAAGACTGATGAAAGTTGTGCCGGTGATGGTCACAGTTTGGGAAATAATCGCTTGCTTCTGGAATAATTACAACTGCAACTTCCGGTCCTCAAGATGCCTGCAGCAGACTACGAATACAAGAAGTATGCCGTCTGCCACAAGCTGGCGCCATCGTTTAAATCGTGTGAATAAAGACTATATTCTGATATTGTATTTGTTTGAAATATAATGACTTTCAGACACTTATAAGAATTCATAGTGGGGTGCGATGCAAAATATGGTTTATTGAAAGTCCGGTCGTCGATCGAGATGATCGTCTGCTAAAAGATTGCATTGCACCTGTGAGAAAAGCACTTCAGGCAACCGGTTGAGATCCCCAATTTTTTTTTTTTTTTTGCGGACTCGCGTTATGTGAAAGTGCTTCATAGCTGGTTGTAACCATCCCATGAAGAAAGGTTCTTGCAGTTTCTTCAGATTCCCGCAATATCCCAAAGCGCGAGAGAACTGGATAAAAACCATAAGGTGAGTACATGTAGCACTGGTGGACAGTTGCCTCAATGTAAAAAAAAGGGCCAAACCAACCAAGAGCATGTAAAACCCATATTCTGTTCGGTCATATTGTTTGAAAATATGGCGGTATATTTATATCTTATTACTATAATATTGATAAAGTAGTTGCATGCAAGTAGTAGTGAGTAAAATCCAGATCAAACTTGCAGTAGTCTTAAAGGCCCGTTCACACTCTTGCGACCGAGAGAGACCAGACCGGTTTTTAAGCCTCTTGCAATCTCTTGGGACCAGCTCCGCTGCAACGCATCCGGTCCTAAGAGATCACAAGAGGCTTAAAAACTGGCCTGGTCTCTCGGTCTTCCTCGGTTGCAAGACTGTGAACGGAGCTTAAGGCCTGTTCACTCTTGCAACCGAGTACAACTGAGAAAGACGAGACTTGTTAAAAGTCTCGTCTTTCCTGGACGAGAGAACACGCTGGCGCCATCTATGCGGCTTTGGAACTGCATTTAACAAGAGCGAAGGTTTTGCGGTATTTCCGAGGTCAAATGTGCGCAATACCTATAAGAAAGGTTCGTTTATAACGTTGACAAAAGTTTTTCAAGCCCAGAAAGAAAGGATAATGCGCAACAAATAGAAAATATGCCGGACCGCCAAGTTTACACTGCTACCCAATAGATGGCGCCAGTGTGTCCTCTCGTAAGAATATTCAAGAAACCCAGTTTTAAGAAGTTGCAAGAGTGTGAACGGGCCTTAACAATGTTAAGGTAAAACGGCATTGAGATGTATGCCTGTGTCCATGCGCTATCCGGTTATTTTGTTTATGCTTATATATCTACCTTTAAAGGGATACTACAACGAAATTTCGGCGCTCATTTTTTGGTTTATATGTGTTCAAAAAAGCACCATCAAATCGAACATACCAATATCTTGTTAAAAAAGTCACAAAAAGGAATTTTAAAACGAATTAAACAATTAGCAAAGAGCACCTGGTGGATGTCGCTAACGCCTCGCTTTTAATGCCCGTCTAGCAACCTTGGCAGCTGGTGACGGAGGTTGTCTCGTCTCCGGCCACGACGAGAGAAGAGGGGCAGGAGCAACTCCCCTCCTCCCGAGAATGCCTTTTGTGTGTCACACAAGTCGCTATTGTCCCCCTACAAGATTATAGAAGATTAACCCGTCACTTGAAATTTGTGCAAAAGCAGCCGCTTCGGTGGCTGGAACGACTAGGCCATCCTCTCGACGTCAGCCTCGCCGTAGCTTTGCTCGCCTTGAGACGACCTACGTCACGATTGCGTTGGATGTCACGTGGTCTCCGCTGGGCCTTCTCCGAGCGCTTGCCAGAGTGGGCCGTTTATAACGAAAAATACAGCCACCAGGCTCAAAATACAAACGTACGATTGTCATTTCCGGATATTGTGGATCATATTCAACCTATTTTTGAACACGACGGGAATATTTCAAATTTCGTTAAAATATCCCTTTAATGATTTTTTTTTTCATTGTGCTATTCATGTGTTCTCCTGTTTGGACTAGCTTTTTTAATTTAGTACAAGTCTCAATAATAATAATAATAATAATAAACGACTTCCCTCGAAGGTGTAAGATTGCTGGCCTGCACTACGCCGGTAATGCACCTCGGGTCGTAGTCGTAGCTGGTTTGCATGACGTGGGTTGATTTTACGGCATTTTCGCCCCTCCGAACAAAGCTATATTCTTCACAATGAAAAAAAAAAAAGAAAAAAAAAAAAGCACATCGCTGAAGCTTTTACGGTCATGATGATGCACTTGTTTTTGTCACTGGTTTACAGAAGCAATTCAATGAAGATGCCCGCTGCAACACAGGTTGGCCAGCAAATCTATCGTGTCGTCTGCTACCAAATCAAAGCGGAGTGTAATACTTCAGAAATGGCTTTCCTCGTTGCAATACGACACAGAGACGAGGAGAACATCTTCATAATTAGATATCAAGAAGCTAGATTGCTTACAAAAAAACTATTGACTTACTTGTAAGCAAAAGTTTAGCCTCATGTGGAGTCTGCATGCATTAGTCTATAGCAACGCCCCTAGCAACGGTTTGTTTGAACCCAGACGACATGTTGTGACAGTTACCCCACAGACGCTGGAGGCCTTTCAAACGAAAAAAAAAAACGGTCGTTTTCACCAACTTGCAGCACGCTGAGGTCTCATCCAACGTGGAGCTGTTGCACTGAAGCTTCCTGATCGCCTTGCAAATGGATTAAAAGTATGCTGTGTCTAAAGGTACGTCAGACGTATCCGCAAGTTCGAGTCTAAAGATACGTCGGACATATTGTAAGCGCCCCAATTCCGTACAAGAAATTAGAGATCGGAGACATGCGATGTCTGCTCTCCATCAAGGCTGAGCGTCTGAAACGTCGCTTGTTTCCTTTCCCCTTTTCTTTGCTCGTCTTATCCACGCTTTTAGTTTTGTGCCCACCTTTACGTGCCGGCAGCACACCACCTTCTGGTCCCCAGCACTCGGTTTCGTCACCAGTTGGTAGATGGCGGCACACAACGGCACTTGCACTACCGCGCAGGCGCTTTAGAATATAGGCACAGGTAAGGCGTTGTGTGCTCTGTTTTTGTTTCGTCGCCGTTCGTTCGACTCCGTCGTCTGACTTGCAAGCGCACCTCGTTTTTGTTTTTGTTTACGTGGTTTAGCCCATATGTTCAGGCGTTCATAACTTTGCTGTCCACCATGAGTGCGAAGAGGACTTTGTACACAGTGAAGTTAGAGCGGACGGTGATCAGGTATGCGAAAGACAACGGTAACCACGGCACTGCACAGCGTCTGCGATACCGTGTGATACGGTGGAAAAGACAGCAGGTGTAGGTATTCAAGGGCGTCGCGATCCGTAAAAAGTGTTCGGGACGGCACAATAATGCAAAAGTCGACATTTGGAAATTGAGAAGAACATTCGTGAGTTTGTTTGCAGCTAACTGAACGGGGCCACCGAGGACTCGTCGAGTCGTACTGAGAGCAACTGGTTGACCGTGGTGCGCAGTGAGAATTGACGGCGAGCAGGTTAATTCTCGTCAGGGTTATTTTTATTTGTTCTGTGACTTTTTTCTTGTGAATTTCCTATAATAAATTGATATTTCTTGCACAAATGTTGTAATTTCGGAGCATTTCACGAAAGTAAGCACCCCCCCCTCGTTGAACATCGCGGGTGTGAAATGAAAGGAGTGCATAGAATGAACTAATTACGGTAGCAATAAGAAATAAAGCTGGAATGAAAATTGACAGTGGGGTCTCAGTGAGGCATGCTATGACCCGCTGTGATACGACCTTTCCCTACCGCGTCTACGTCCGACGCATCTCCCGGTTCCGCGCATGTCCGTCATGCAAGGCCCATTCACACTCTTGCGACCTCTTAGAACCAAGTTCCTTGAAACCTCTTACGACGAGAAACCAAACTGGCGTCATCTATTGGGTAACGGTGTAAGCTTGGCGGTCCGGCATATTTTCTATTTCGCTCGCACATTATCCTTTTTTTCTTGGCTGGAAAAACTTTTGTCAACGCTATAAACAAGCCTTTCTCTTAGGTATTACACACATTTTACCTCGGAAATCCCGGAAAACATTCGCTATTGTGAAATGCAGTTCCAGGGACACCGCATAGATGGCGCCAGCGTGCTCTCTCGTCCTAAGAAATTTTAAGAGATCTCGTCTCTCTCGGTCGTACTCGGTTGCAAGACTGTGAAAGGGCCTTAAGGCTCCAGGGTCCGGATACGTCCGATGCACCTTTAGGCTCCTTGTTCCGGATACGCCCGACGTACTTTTCGAGTCCTCGTTCCGGATACGTCCAATGTACCTTTAGACTCCTCGTTCCGGGTACGTCCGACACGTAGCTTTAGACACAGCGTTAAAAGTATTGCTACGTCTCACGCGTCAATCAGGTTGAAAACACGGTAGGTACCGGGAACCTGAGCACCGGTATTAACGTGTCGGAACGCTTAAACGCCTGTCACCCGTCGTACCTAAGTAACTGAAAAAGAACAGTGATCATATCCAACTCGTCTGCGTCCTAATAGGCGCCCAACTCGGTTAGAAAATCTCGGCGCACCTCCCGCACTTGGTAGCTACGACCGGATAGTAGCTCAATATCGTAACGTGATAAGCGAAGCAATTTCACGTAGCCGAATTGAGGTAAGAGATCTTTTATCTTCAGTTTTAATTTAACGTTTCGAATAACCATGTTCCTCGCACAAGCTCCGAGGCCTGTACGCGTGGAATGCCCAATTCGGCTTCTTGAAACTAGTAGTTCCATACGACGGTGTAGATGTTCTTTTACAACGCCAACACACATGTAGATGTTACATGCTTACTGCATTCGCGGGACACGGGTCTACTTACCCATCTCTGAGGGCTGCAGGTGCGACGACGAAGATAACAGCGGGGAAAGGCGTCATCAAGACTTAGAACGCAAGGAAAAAAATCCACGGTGAACCGTTACAACATGGCGCCGGGACGTTTGTAAACATACTCTCGTTACCGTGCGACGGTTCCCCGGTTTCGAAACAAAAATTCGTTTAGCATAGTTAAAATTATTTTAGCAACGTAGATAGCTTGATCACTTGAGTATATATATTGCCATTTTTTCTTTAAGTTAAATTGAGAGCTTAATGACTTCGCAATGAAGCACACTCACTCAGTGAGCACACTCTCATACTCT